TCAGAGCATTTGGTATATCTTTGTGGTGTGTGTGTGTGTGTGTGTGTGTGTGTGTGTGTTTGTGTGCTACTCAGTAATCCCCTGATTCTCTGCTTGTGTTCAATGATAAGAGTTTAAAAAGCCACAGGCCCCAGTCCTGCCAGGTCAGAGATTAAAGCTGTCTATCTCACCCCATCACTCATCTGTGTGGGTGTGGGGTGTGTATATGTGTGTTTGAGGGAGTGAGAGAGAGCAGAAAAAAAAACGTCTGAGGTGTTGAGCGTTCCTAACTTCCTCTTGAAGCCATTAACACGCTGGCATGTTAAACAAGCAGGACAGGCTCATTGTGATTTTTGCACATTCTTTCTGCCTCTCTTGCTCTCTCTTGTTCCCTATCTGTCACTCTCTCTTTCTTTCTCTCTCTGTCTTTGTATCTGTCTCTCACTGTCTCTGTCCATGCTTGTAGACCTTGACACGTCAATGTGCCCGAAGTCATAACAGTGACTACACTGTAAGGTGGACGAATACATTATGCTGTATGGATGCTGTTTGACTGTCAGACTCACCATAACCTCCAGGACTTTTTTTTTTGGTAAATGAAAGGCAGTGTAGTGCTTTGGCAGTCGTAGGCTACAGTTTGAGTAGCTGGTGTGTGAAGTTAGAAGTTAGAAGTATTGTGTAATTATAGTAGTATCCTTACATTCAAATAACCACTGTTCAGTGAAATTTTACATGTCTGTATAAATAAGTAGTTAAGATATAAAAAAAAAGTATTCAGAGTGATTTGATGTAAAATGATGCATTGCAGAGAAACTTCAGCAGTCGGAAACAATAGTGCTGATAGTATCCAGATGTTTTAAGATGTTTTAATGCCTCTAAAACCTTAATCACAGAAAGCTACTACTCAAAATGGTTACAGATATGTTGCCTGATGCCTGAGATACTGTTTTTGACAGAAAATAAAGTGGCTGTAATTGTGTTATTGACATTGCGACCCCTGGTTCCAAACACCACCATTATAAATAGTCACATCCAAACACCCCAGATTGCTTTGATTGGGTCTTAGTGATCTAATAACGCAGAATTTTTGAATTTCCCTTTGACTCACTTATATGTAGTGTTTGTGTTTCGACTACTTAATGGCTTTGTAATCCAGAGGATTCAGTGACGTTTGGTGGGAAACTATACACAGAACAAAACTTATCAGTTTGGGAAACATTTTGCCTACACTGTCAGAAAAAAAGATACTGTACAGGTATATTTTTGTTCATCGAGGTGCAAACAATGTAAATGTAGCCTCAAAGGTACAACTATGGTCTCAGGTTTTTCCCAAGGGAAAAGTGTGTATTTGTACCTTTTTATAACCTAATGTTTTAAAATAGAACAATACAATAAGAAGGCTGGAGTCAGGACAGGGTGTATGGAGTCAGCGCAACTTAAAAAAATATAATTACAAAGGAACGTGGCATAATTATTATCCCCAGCTAAGGGTACCGAAGACATGCCCCTGAGGCTACCACCCCAGTGACGTAAGGGGTACTACCCCAGTGACAGTGTAGTAACTTTTTTCTGAGAGTGCCTCACAGGGTGCGGTATGGGGCAATTTTCTAATGCTCCTTTCATTTTTTCCATAGAGAGAAATGGCCCGGACCCCCTTAGTGCTTATTTGGACATTTTACTGACTACAAAATGACAACCTGACCTCAGCGGTCTATAGCTCATCTTAATGTGATGCTGTACTTTTTATACATTTGAAAATGCTTTTGCCTTCAGTTCCTCAAAAGTTACATTATTCATGTATGTCTGTGTATATGTGTTGCAGGGATACACAAGTCTGTACAAGCCTTGTTCTTTCTCCTCTCTGTGTCTCTCTTCATGTCGGAGTGTATTGAAATGTGTTTGAGGGGGTCAGGAGGGATGACCTTTGACCTGTGAAGAGGATCTGTAGGATGTCCCTATGTGTGTTTGCGGTATCTCTGAATGGTTGAAGAGTCGCCTGGGGCAACGAGGGCTGGAGGAGGGTGTGCCCCATGACTTCAGAGCAGTTGCTAGACAGAGAATGAGAGAGGGTGGGGGAGGGGGAGGGGGAGGGGGAAGGGAGAGAAATGAAGACCATGTGACTCCACAGCAGCTGTTAGATTGAGAGAGAGAGAGAGAGAGAGAGATAGCGAGCGAGTGTGTGTGTGTGTGTGTGTGTGTGTGTGTGTGTGTGTGTGTGTGTGTGTGTGTGTGTTTGGCCACAGGGAGTGAAGGAGTGTGAGTTGCTGTGGTGCTTCATTAGATAAGCTCTACACAGCACCCATGAGCGGAGAGATAGAGCAGAAAGAGGGAGAGGGAGAGGGAGAAGATCAAATGAGGAGCATTGAGTATGGTGATTCTTTTTTAAATAAAAGAGTAGAAAATGCTGAACTGGGAGGACACAGTGAGCTGAATGTTATACGAGGAGAACTGCAGTTCATTCTCTGTGGAATAGACTGCTGGGTAGGAATTGTTTTATTTTCTATTTCAGTTTAATTGCATTTGTTCATGAATACTGGTGTGCTGATCATGCAGTGTGTGTATATATTTGGCTGTATGTACTGCCTTTACCTTTCATTCACTCCTTAAATTGACATTTACATTAATTCATTTAGAAGATGCCTTTATTCAGAGCAACTTAAAATGTGTTTGGAAGTAGTTACTACACTGCGAGAAAGTATGGGAAATCTAGTCGAAAGAATTAAAGACTTCCATAATGAGACTGTTGTACGAATGTTAATATTATTTCATGTATTTAATTTTTTTACTTGTTTTAAGTCATTTTATCTAGAAAGATTATTTTATTCTACTGGCAGATATTTTCTCTTGTTTTAAGCATGGTTTCCTGAAACAAGCACAGTTTTCTGCCTTATGTCTTGAATAGGAAAGTAACGATACACTCCCACGGTTCAATTTGATTGACAATACTTGGTTCACAGTTCAGCATTTTGAACAACATTTGAATGAAGAGAAATGATGACTATAATCATCTTGTTGCACAACTTACTAAAGACACTAGGGCTGTTAAGCAGGAGAAGTGCTGGAGCAAAGTGTTGATTGGTGCTGATTATTGTAAACGTCGGTGTTTATATAATGCAGTTGTATTAGATGGCATAATTAACACAGTGGCCATTCTCCATGATGCTTCGTCACATTTCCATATTCACAGTCACATTTTTGCATTGTGATATCACATCGGAATGCATTGTTATACCCCTAGTCTTGAAACAAGCAACATTTCAGACAATTTCCCCTAAATAAATCACTTAAAACAAAAACATCCAGAAAAAAGTTGAATAATCCTATAATATTCATACAGCAACCGCATAATGAGAAATGTTAGATTTAAGATGTTTTCACCTGCCAAGTACCTTTTTTCACAGTGTAGTATACAAGTCACTACTCTACACTTTGTTATTTATCTGAAGCCCCCTTTTTTAGCACTGTTGTATGACTAAGAGTATGTATCTCACACTCCCTCTGCAGTTCTCTCTGCTTTACCTGTGCGTGTGATGGTTTCTGAGCAGTGCTCCGGTGTCTGTGTCAGTGTGAGTGGTGTGTTTGAATGTGCGATGCAGATTTGAGCTGTAATGAGTTTTCTCTTGAGGGGAGTCAGGGGACGTTCTAATGCTAGCTAGGGCCACTAACGCTGCTAATTTCATTATTAATTTGCTCTTTGCAGTTCAGCATGAGGGCAAAGGGTGAAGAAGAGGTTACTGTGATAAAGCTGACGATGTGTGAGGGAGCAGTAATGACTATTATGAGATATATGCTGTGTTCTATGATGATAATTACACCACAGTGTGTACCCACACACACACACACACACACACACACACACACACACACACAGACACACACATGTTTTATACTCCATTGATCTGAATTGACTTGATTCAAATACATCATTTCCACATAAATAAAATATATTACATTAGCACAGCTACTGCCAAGAGTAAGTATATACCATGACACTAAAAAAGTATTTGGACATTTCTGCTGTTCAAATATATCGAGTTCAGTGGCATTTATTTTAAACAGACCATTCTAACACTGTCAGTTTCTGTTTGACAAAGTAATCTTTCAGAATTGTGCTGTGTTTCAGATTTGCTGTCATTTGAGCAGTTTCTTTGCAGGCTTCTGCAGATTTTGTACACTTCTGAGTTCATGATCCCATGGACACACAGTTTGTGCCTTTAGTACTCTCAGTGCAGTCTGGTTGGAATTCTTCTCCAAGCTTTCTCCACACCATCAGTTTGATGTTGCACTTAAAGTGCTTTATCATTATGGTTAGCGTGAAGTAACCAAAGGAGCTTAATTTAAGTTTGGTAATGGTGACATGGTCCACATCAATGGTAGAGTTCAGTTCATACTGTCATTATAATGTCATGTGAATGCTTTGGTGCTATATCCATCCCCCATTGCTATGTGTGCCAGACTGAGGAAGCGTTGCTATAGGTTTATAGATGGAAACATGCTATTGATTTCCTCTGGAGGTGTAGCATAATCCAGTTCCTGATTGATTGTGTCCGGTAAAGAGTTTCTATTGTCTCTCCATTAACTTGGCCAGCAGACAGAGGAGGGATGTGATTTCAGATCCTCTGTTCATGCACATTTTTACATAGTCGGGTACAGGAAGATTAACTACAGGCAAACAGACAATAGTGGTAGTAATTCTTGTGGTTCTGACGTTTTAAATTATTTGTAGTGTGTGTGTGTGTTTGTGTGTGTTTGTGTGTGTGTGTGTGTGTTTGTGTGTGTGTGTGTGTGTGTGTGTGTGTGTGTGAGTGTGGTTTGTTGAGAAAAAGGGATGTGAAAGGTCATGACTCTGAGTGAAAGTGACACTCGTCTTTGGCACCCACACACACGCTTATTTAAATGTTAGCTTTAGTTAATCCTTGTTTTGCTTACAGCAACTGGAATGCAAATATTAATGGAAATTATCACATTTAAATCTTCTCTCTTTCTCCCACCCCCCCTCCCTTCTCTTCCGTCCCCTCCAGGCATGAGCCATGAGCCAAAGTCGCCATCGTTAGGGATGATCTCCACGGCAACCCGCACCACGGCGACCGTCAGCCCCCTCACCCCCTCCCCCATCAATGGAGTAGTGGTGGCCAATGGGAGCCCAGTGTCTCAGTCTGCTCACTCCGGATTCGCTGCTGCTCTCCGCAAACTGGCCAAACAGGCAGAGGAGCCGCGAGGTGGGTGTGTCCTCTGAGTCTTCTTTTCTTCTTTTATTCTCCTCCTCTCTCATCTGTGCCTCTTTCCACCCTTCTTTACATACTACATGCTTTCTGCCTGACTTAAAGTTACTTCTCATATCACCAGAGCAGATCACACAGGTTTCCACCATATACGTACTTGTCTGTGTTTCATTGCCGGCCCTCCAATTATATTACTTGCCATCACTGTTGGCCATTTTCTTCTGCTGTAATGTGACAGTTTTAGAGGTTTTGTGAGGTTTTTTCTAGATTTTGAGGTTTTGTTAGAAGCACAACATTATATTTTCCCACTATCAATTTATATCATTGATTTATCCACTTTTTTCCTCCTTGTTCTGCCTTTCTCTCTAATCCACTTGTTTAGAGAGAAAGACAGACCCTTTTTTTCAGCAGTCTTCTCATTGTATGTTTGTATTGTATTGTATCTGTCCATTCATCTCCCATTCATCCACGCCATCATCATCACCCATTCATCTGCATCCATCCCTTTTCCCTCCTTCTTGTCTTCACTCTGCCTTTCTATCCTGTCCACTCATTAAATGTTTCAGATGTTTGGTTTCACTCCTTTTTCAGCAGTTTTGTCTACCCAGAATCTTAATTTAGAGTTTATCTTGAGCTCTGCGAGACCCTGAGTTGTGTAGAATGATTATTTCCTGCCTTCCACCCTGCAAGTCTTTGGATTCTTTTTTCTTCTCTCTTTGTCTTTTTCTCTCTCTCTCTCTTTCGGGTTGTTGCAGGAAGGAGAATGTCGTTCAGGTTTAACATGTGCACACACCTATACACGCGCTCTTACGCTGATCTGCAGGGTCTGTTGCTGGTGGTCAGATCATGCTGAATTGATTTGAATAATATTTGCATGTGGATTTGCTGAGTTTCAAATGGCTGGCACATTATAGAGAGACCCATCTGTCTGTGTGATTGTGTTCAAGTCACAGCCAGAGACGGACACACGGACATACACTCACACACGTGCACTTATACACACCCACACACACATACAGACACACTCACACACACACATACATGCACTCTTTGCTTTTTAATGATATGTTTCAGTATCGTAGCTTCAGTGGAGTTTGCCTTGAGTCCGTAAGCTATTGCTCTTGCTGTAAATGATGGCTTTTACAAAAATTCCAGACACCAGCAGCAGATGAAAGGGATCAGGCCTAGTAGAAGGAGATGGATGAGCTGATCGTGTGGTTTAGGGTGTTTTAGACCACGGTGGCCAGTGAAAATGTGGTGGTACTTTCATCAGTGTCTCAGCCTGTGTTAATGTTAAACTAGCTCTGCTCCAAGGCCCAAGACTCTGATTATTCTGGTGTGTGCTCTGATACAGAACTGATGATGAGATTATTAATACTGAAGCTTTTTGTCAGGGAAACTAACCTTTGCAAATCAGCATTGGATCCCCTCAGAATGAAACACAGTCTGTTCGCTGTTTGTTTTTTTTTTTCCCCTGGGCCAGTATTCTTTGGCCACACCCCCCCCCTCCTTTTACAGTCATTAATTTTTCTTTTGCATTTCACTATTAATGTCACAACTCATTGATTATTAATAATCATACAGGTATAAGATGTTGTGGTACCACAACCACACCACCCCTCCACCCCACCCACAGTTTGCTCCTTTTGATACTGTTAAAATGCTAAAGGATTTTGTTTGGATTATCACAATCAGTTTTATTAATAATCAAGGAATCTACTGATTATTTTGACGATTGTTCTAGTAATTAGAGTTTTTAAAAGAAGCTGAACAATAAAAATTGACTTAACTGAGTAATAACAATCCACTGCCTGATGCTGAGCCTTTTGAAGATTGCAGCACACTTTATTTAATTTTAAATAATGTTTTTAATTTTAAATAATATTTATGTTTAAAGATAAACTAAGAAGCCTTTTAAAATACTTTGCAAGTAAACACAATGTAACATAATTAGAGCTTGCATATCAGTATCGATGGGTGTGGATATCGGGCTGATATCAGCAGAAAATGCTGGACTGAACGTAGGAGGAAAAAAAAATTAATTGGATTTATTACACTGCGTGGTGTGATGTGATGTAGCAGTGCATTACTTCCTGTAAGTAACAGAGTGTTTGAGTAGTGCTTCATTTACAAATTACATTAAAAATGGCTTATTTTAAAGCTTAGTAGTCTTTAAAGAAAGAGTACTGTACCTGTTTAAGTATCAATACAGGAAAAGAAAAAGTGCTATATTGCCATCTCTAAAATGTATATAAATGAGTACGCTCTGTAAAACAGGCTCTGTATCTGACTGTAGGAAAGATCAGTAGGAGAATTTATGTATTACTATCATACAAATTGACAACAAAGGAAAATTTTAATGTGTTATTTTTGATCAGTTGTGATTTGTTGATGAATCGCATCCCTAAATTCTCCAAAGCACTCTCCTAACCTGTCCACTTCTTTAAAGCCACTATGTCATTATCATTGTAATGATAAATTTTATTGCTTTGTGAGTAACTGTTTGTGTGTATCTTCTGCTCTGTCTAGCCACCATTAGTTTCTTGTTAGTCTCTTGGCTTTGATTGGAGGAGAGAGGAGAATGAGAGAGACTGAGTGGTCTGGCTCTTTTTAGCAGAGAGATACAGTCGTGTTTCTGCAACTGAATCAATCTGATTTATCTCCACTAATTGCCATTGGCCCCCACTGCTTACTGAAGCATGTAATGTCTGTCTGTCTCTCTCCCTCTGCTGGGCCACCCCCCCCTTTCTCTCTCTCTGTCTCTGTTTCTCTGTCTCTGTTTCTCTCTCTCTCTCTCTCTCTCTCTCTCTCTCTCTCTCTCTCTCTCTTTCTCTCTCTCTTTCTCTTTCTCTCTCTGTCTCTGTTTCTCTCTTCTCTCTCTCTCTCTCTCTCTCTCTCTCTCTCTGTCTCTGTTTCTCTGTCTCTGTTTCTCTCTCTCTCTCTCTCTTTCTCTCTCTCTTTCTCTTTCTCTCTCTGTCTCTGTTTCTCTCTCTCTCTCTGTTTCTCTCTCTCTTACTCTCTCTCTCTCTCTCTCTCTCTCTCTCTTTCTCTCTTTCTCTCTGTCTGTTTCTCTCTCTCTTTTTCTCTCTTTCTCTGTCTGTTTCTCTCTCTCTCTCTTTCTCTCCTTCTCTCTCTGTCTCTGTTTCTCTCTCTCCCTCTCTCTCTTTCTCTCTTTGTCTCTGTTCCTCTGTCTCTCTTACTCACTCTCTCTCTCTGTGAAAAGTAGAATATTTGAAATATTTGTAAGTATGTTTTAAGTATATTTTAAATAAATTTAAGTATTTCATAAATATACTTAAATTATTATTAGCTAATTGATTCTTTTAGCTGTACACACTGTTTATTTGTACTTCAGCACTTGATTGTAACTGGATGTATCTCCCATTGCACATGCTTTATATTACTCAGTTTGTTTGTGTACTGCCTGTTGTGTGTAGATTGATATAATATATTGATAGTATATCTGTTTCTATATTTTATTTTATTTTATTTAGTTTTATGTTGACACCTGCACAGAAAGAAAGTCCTTGCACATCTGGTACTTGGCAAATAAAGATTCTGATTCTGTTTTCAAAATTTCTTAGTATTTGGGATGTCCCAAAGTTGGTGCAAAAGCCTCTGAGAGGTACATCAAATCCACCTGAGAGTCACCTGAACGTGAGCTTAGAGGAGAAAAAAACAACAAAAAAAATCAGATCTTTTTATAAGGCATTATACAACATATAATATTATAAACATGGCAAGTGTCAGAATTGTGCTTAAATTTGAATAGTGACCTAGAAATAGTGCAGAATCTTGAATATTTCTTCTTCATTTTAGTTGTCATAACCTTTTTTTGTTGGAATTTTGTAGAGTTTTGAAACTTCTGTTTTAATGAAAACAATTTCAGATTTTCAGTGTTTCTAGACTTTTGGAACCCACTGTGTGGTCACTGCATTATGCCTTTGAGTGTACTAAACACACTTGTCTTGTTTAATGAGAATTACACACATTTTTCCAAATTTCAGCATAATTCATGCTGAGATGTAAATAAAGTCAACAATACAGATATAGCCATTTTATTTACTATACAAAACCACCAGAACCTACATGTCTTCTTTTTATATGAAGTCATGGTAGTGGTCAAATAGTGGCAAATCTGAAAAAAATAAATCCCTCTTTGGGGACTGTTTTGTCTTATAAAACCTCACATGTACCCCTCCGCCATAAATAGATTTAAAAACTATGTTTTAAGCCAAATTTGTATCTCCAAACAGTCTCCAAGACATCTCAGACATCAGTCGCCATATTCATTACCATTATAACCATTTATAACCATTAATAATAAGCATGTAATAACTTTCTGTGAGGGAGCTTTCAGAGGCTTTTACCTCTCTAGATGTCTGGTTCTCCACTATGCTCCACTGTGAGCAATTCTGACTCTGTCAGTTTCTCTAGAGTGGAGCATTTCACATCAAACCACTCTGAATGACTTTATTTACATCTTAGCAACTTAATTATGCTAAAATTTTTAAAAATGTGTGTAACTGTCATTAAACAAGATAAGTGTTTTTTATATATTGAAAGATATATTGAAATTCCCCATTGTTACATCTTAACCATATTATTATGCAGAATTTTTTTGTACACAAAAACATTTGTGTATTTTCCCTTTAATGCCTATATTCATCAAAACACCAACAGAAACACGTCTGGATCATCAGCCAAGAGTCGCAGTGCTTTTAGCATATATTTACACATTGTAGCAATCTGTAAAATCAGCATTGCAAAGGGCAGTATCATGATAATTAGTAATACACGTTAATAAATGTTAGTGTGCATGCTGTGTAAGCAGTACAGAGACAGTGATCGAGGAGTAGATGGTCAGGAGCTTGGTGGACTATAACTGTGTCTTAATCAAAGGCCACAGAAGAGCAGATTAAGCCAGACCTCCTGAGAGAAGAGCACATTTTAAAGTGATGAACAGAGGCTTAGTGTAACACACACATCTACACACG